CAGGTCTTCTCGTGTATCCGCAGACAAGTCTTCGGCGAACTTTCACTCGCCTTCATATGTAGGACACGCCAGACATTCACCAATTCCCACATCAGTTGCATCGTTGCCGCGCTCCTCAATGGTTGCGCCCAATCATAACATTCCCCAACTTTTGAGCACCAATTCTGTCACTAATCCTAACATCAGATCCGGTGCTCCAATAAATCCTATGATACCTAATGGTTCGCCGTCCGGACAACTATTTCCACGATTGCCGGGAAATATAGGACGCGGAGATCTCTCAATCCGAGGTCCAATGCTGCCGACCCCTACATTCAGGCCCCGAGTGCCGGCGCCAAACCTGTTAGGAGCCGCACAAATGGAAATGTTGCTCCGAATGCAGTCTAGTTTCGCAGATCTTAGGCATCCATTACCGCCATTTCCTCCACACCCTCCCGCCGCCCATTCCTTTCCAGGTCTGCCTCATATGAATGGTATGCTCCGTCCCAACGGAACCCCACTAATACAGCCTTCACTACAGACTAACGGTTCACTGCCGGCGCCGCACATATACCCGAATTTACCACTACTGCCGCCCATCACTATTATGGTTCCCTACCCGGGTATGTCTAATGGACAGGCACTTTTTGATTATAAAGTACTAATCTAACCATTTTTCAATCCTAGTACCGCTTCCAATACCGATTCCTATACCGGTGCCCATACTGTTCCCCATCGACAAGAATTCAAAATCAGAAAATGTTAACCAAAATCCTAACAAAAATAGTAATAATCAGACAAATATCAGCTCAAGTAATGACGTGACCACTACTTCTCATAATTTAAATGGAGGTACTCTTACGAGCTCTACCACTACTACTACCAGTCCTGTTTGCACCGCCAGTAAAGTGGAGTCAGTTATCTCTAAACTCGTTGAGAGGAAGACTAAAGCAAATAATAATAGCCATCATTTAAATGTCAATAATAGCCACAAGAATGGCAACTCAAGAGTTGGTGAAACTGATGATAAAAAGAGTTGTCACGAAAATGAGGAGCATTTAAGTGATAACGAAAGTGGAGAAGTGTTGCCACAAAATCTAGTGGTCCCTCACAATCGCCGACCCCTTACAGACACATACAGTCCTCCCGTTCTTAACAGTGGATATCATTTGCAATGACAGACACCTTAATTAATACAACATTTAATAATATATTTATTTATTTATTGCTTCAATATATTTACTGGAATTAAGTTTTAACATTAGATCTATTGACATAAATCCTTATAAATATGTTTCAATACAAATATTTAATTATGTATAAGTTACAAGATTATTTGTTTTTAACAAGACAATTTGTTCAATTGTATGGTATTATTGATGTAAATAAATAATAAATGCAGTTCTTATAAACAGTTATTTTACCATTTATTTTTGTGACTTTTTTTTGCTAGTAAAATATTTATACTATTCATAATGATTTAAAAATATTTAGCAAAAGTTTTATAAACTGAATGCATTACAAAGTAAAATTGTTATTATATTTAATTGTTTATACACTCTATTTAGATTGAATTACTGTAATAGCTTTAACGTAACTTTAAGCTAACAAATAAGTTTTTATTTTCAGGAACTTATAATGAAATTATGAAAACCCAAAGTTGTCAATATAATTTCATTATTAAAATAATGTCTAACAATGTTAATATTTTATTTTTGTAAACATGTTGTGCGTGTAATTTGACATTTAATATATGTTTACAAAAATAACGAAAGCAAAAATACAGTAATTAATAAATATTACTGAACTAAATTGCCATTAATTTTCAAATTTTTTATAATAATCAAACTATTTTTACGGAAGATCTATTTTTAGACCTACAAAAAAATTATTAAATTAATATAGGAATGTAAGGTAAGTATAAACTCAACAAAACATGAATATAATGAATCTCCAGTGACTTTCAATACCTTTAAATGCTTTCTAAATTATAATAAATCATAAGCATAATAATCAATACACCTTTGTATAGATGTTTTGTGTAATAAAAATAATTATTTATTTTTCTCATCACTATATTTGTCGGTTAATTAAAAATACTTTCATTAATGTATAGAAAAAACATATTTATAATTAATAGCAAAAATATCAATACACAGACTGCACGCCAAACACAACACACACACAGAATATTCTGCACAAACTCTATGGGATTCTGTGTGTCATTCATGACTGCATTCGTGACGACATGTGTAGGCAGTGAGTGGTAACCATAGGAACTAGTAGTCTTGGGAATGGGATCAGACTANGCTATCAGTGAGTGGGACAACACTTTTTGTTAAACTCGTGGTGTATTGTCCCTAATAGTGGTATGGCTTGAATGGTGGCACCGAATGATAAGCACATCTACTCAAAGGTGTTGACTTTTATCTGACGGGCGTTATTAACATAAAATACTATAAAAAATCATTTCGCCCCACAAAGTCTCAGCTCATTTAGCATTTTCGTTTGAATGTCTCTTTTTCATGCATTCATTCAGTTGTGTTAATTCACATGAACGCTAAAACATAATGGATTAGTGCGAGTGAGAGAGAGACTCTCATTTGATATTCAATTTTACTTTTCATTTCGAGTTATTATTTGTTGAGAGTTTGTCTGCTATTAGAGTACAAGTGCTTTGGATATGTAATGTTATTAGAGAACTATGGAATTACTATCTAATAATATTAATTGTAAGAAATACATTATATTCATGTCATATATATATATACCATATTCATAACAGTGATAACGCAACTTTATTATCACTTTTTTCATTATTGTACAAATATTTACATTTTAATTGCGGAGATTGTTTTTAACTTAACAAAAATATTATGTATATTATAATAGACAACCAGAATATACCCCCGGGATGTATAGTATGTGCTTGGTGCGCCAAGATTGGTATGAAGTTGTTTACGCTGCGAACGGCCACCGGATGTAAAGCTTTTTGCAGGTATTTCTAAATTATTAAAAAAATACTTTCACTTTAAACAATACAATATTTATGAACTCAAAGTTTAATTATGAAAACTAACATATAATATGTATTTTACAGTGAATTATGTTTCACACAATGCAGAAGAGCCTCATTTAAGGTATGGTTTGTATAATTTTATGCAAGTAATTGATGACCAAAATTATATAACATAATATAACATAGTTTTGTTTGTTTGTGTGCAGAAGAATAAGATATGCGACTGGTGCAAACACGTTAGGTATGTCCATTCAATTATCTCTTATGATAATAGATGATAATAGCTTTTCCCACATAAGCCTTGACGCAAATTTTCAT